CCACCAAAGAAAGAAGATATTTTTCTATAACATTACATTACATTGCATTTAGCTGACGCTTTTATCCAAAGCGACTTACAGTAAGTGCATTTGACCAAGAAGATACAATCTTGAAGAAAATAGAATCGTATAAGTACATCAGGTTTCATAGAGCCAAAACATTTCAAGTGCTACTCAACTGGCTTTAGATAAGCCAGTCCTTTATTAGTATATAATTGCTTTGATAGTTATTCTTAATTCTATCGCTCGAAGTGGAGTCAAAAGAGATGAGTTTTCAGTCTGCGCCGGAAGATGTGTAAGCTATCTGCTGTCCTGATTTCAATGGGGTTTTGCTGATGGGAACTATAAATAGTCAAAGTTTGTGTCTAAATGAGGCTTTGGAAGAAAATGTGGGAATTTAACCTGCTGTTAACCTTCTGTTTTCCAATGACAGCAAACATATATGAGCTGTGGCTGTGATCGTTTCCTGTCCTTAAACAAGTAGTTAATATTCCTACCATTGCGATTGAACGTCCTTAAACCTTCAAAAAGTATTTAAAACCCAAACCATCAGATTTGCCTCACTCTAAAAAAGTAGTTATATCCCTGAACCTGATCGTATTAAGCCATGGCGGATAACAGATTAGAAAACGGTACACACATGCAAAGTTGAGTTGCAATGGTCTTGGCATTTAAAGATTAAAGAATATCGTCTTGTTGATATGTGTTGTGGTGGTGAAATAAACAATATGTTGACGTTGGGAGAACTTGTTGAGACCATGGACGCTTACTCACGTCTAATTGAAGGCCAAAGCCCATTTTAAAGGAAGGTATTTGATGTGTTCTGACTACTACTCTGTTTGGTGTTTCCTCTACACACTTTGATTAAAGAGCTTTTACAAAGACGAAAGCTGAGTGTGTCATTCATCCGGTCTGCGTAGTTTAACTTTTTGGCAAAGGGTTTTATTCTTCCTCTTCCCTTAAGCCTCGTTGTTTCATCTGCTTCTTGGCAAACATCTCAGAGGTCTGCTCCTTAAAGAGGGGCTCCCATCCTTCCGGCTTCTCTGTTTAGCCTCAGCTTTGAGCGTTAGCTTATAAATACAGTGTGGTTTGAGCAGGGCGGAGCTCTCAGCCGCGTTGGGGGGCCCGGATCGTCTTCTTCAGATCTGCTTTGTAATTAAATATCCCCCGCAGCAGCAGAAAGGCTTAAAGAAGGAAAGAGCTGCTTCCCTGCCAAATGCCTTCTGGTAAATGTGTAACAGCTGCTCAGCACTTTCAACCCGGATTGCTCAATATTTGGGTTGTTTCCCAAATCAAAGCCCTATACCTTTGAACCCTCCTCTCCCTCCTCTCCCTCCTCTCCCTCCTGCAGGACGCTGCTATATTTGATGTGTGTGTGCTGACGTCAGCTCGTCTAATCTTATCTTCACTTTCACGAGGGAAAGATCCAATCAGTGTATGTCATTTGTTCACTGTGTTTTCCTGAGGCGTCTGTTACAGCACTTTACAACCTGTCTACACTTTAAACATGATACTTTAAATGAGAATAGATTATAGATGGAAAAAACCAAGGACAATCATTTAAAATAAAATCCTACGTTCTGCATCATTTGAAGGAAAAAGCGTAACACTTTTGAGACTTCAGCCATCAAGATCCACAAAATGAGTTAAATACACATCAGAGAAATGAAAATGCTGGAAAACTCAGGGCACTTGACCCAGAAAAGAAACACTTGGTGAGAGGCTAGACAGCAGCTTCTTGGAGCCTTGCAGCTTTTTCCATTGTCTCTTTATAAATTCCACTCTGTTATATATCAGCGACTCGTAGCATTTGAAGCCCTGAAGGGTATCCAACTCTGAAACTTGACAATGTCATGCCACGCTCAGCCGTTCAGGGTGACATTAATTGACTTTGGTCCGGCAGTTCCTTCCTTCGAAGTCAAAGTTGGAACGACCGTGCAATCTTGTGCGTACAGAGCTCCAGAAGTTACCTCGGACCTCCTCACATCTCACGCAATCACCATGTGAGGAATGGGATGACTCATGGCAGAACTGTATTTTGGTACCAACTTCTTCCCTGGAAACCCAACATACCACTTATGAGAGCTGTTTGCCATCTGCTTGGTGAAGAAGACCACCTGCTTAAGGTTGGATTAAGAATATTTTAAGTATTTCTCCAGCAGGGCTCAAACAGTCCAGGATGGAGAATAAAGACATCAGGATGCAAAAAGACAGCCGGTTTTGACACTGTTGGAAATGTGGACGAAGCAGTAAAGTGTGACACAGTTGAGTATAAGGACAAGATGGCATGTATACGACCTCTAAAATGGTTGCTCGATCTGGATGCTGAGTCATTCTTCCTACATTACAGATCAACCTGAGTCAAATCTAGATTATAATTGATTTTATGCTTGGGATCATATTCGGTGTTTGACTCATGAATCTTAAAAAATGTTCAGTTAAAGATCTGTCCGCGTGTTTTGTGTTGGATTTTGCTGCCTTAAGAAATGTCTCCTGTATCGACAGTCAAGCTCACATGCTTTTGGTAATGTACGTTTTTAATACTCATATTTTTATTAACATTTTAAATGGTATAAAAGAGGTTGTTTCCTTGTACCATGGAACGTGTGTTATTCTCTTGTTCCTGCAGCTTGTTTTCAGTGACTTTATACTCTGTGAAATAAACACAATTCTTATCTTGGAACTCCTACAACTGCCATGTGGCAATATCTGCCTACTGAGAATTGAGTGTTTATTGTGCGTGTGTGTGTGTGTTTACAGGGCTGTCTCTGAGACAAAGTCCAGAGTGAATGTGCGTGCAGGGTCGGGTTTGGTTAGCTGAACAACAGCAAACACGTGGTCTGCTGAACTTCACAAACAATTTAGCTCTGTGTCGGCCTGCGTAACGCTACGTAAAGCACATTTCGCTAAATGTCAAACTGTTTATAGCATGTGATACACATGACCGTATGTCTGACGCAGGACCGCATGAATGAAGGCCTTTTACAAACGTCCCAGAATGCTTCCCTGTGGAACGCCAAAGCATTGCACAAAACAAGCCGGATTTATAACTGCATGCCAAAAAAAACCTAGAGATTTCTGACCCCCAGAGAGGAGGAAGCACCGGATTAGCACCCAGATGCGGAGGCGTGTGGAGAGATTCTCCATCTGACTGGCAGTCAGCTGATAGCAGGCGGATAAATGGAGGCAGTGTGTAGAGACAGGCAGAGGAAATCAGGTCACTGCTGCTCCGAAACAAGGACACACATTTCTTTTTCTTCTCCAAAGAGGGGAGGGTAAACAACTGGAAAACAGGATTTATAGTCTGGGTTATTTTTATTGGAGTCATGAGGTTTCCAGACTGGTGTTCTTCCTCTGCGTGCTCCAGCAGTTTGTCACCTCGCTGACATTAAAGTCCACAAACCCAGAGGGACTTTTAGAGGACTCTGCAGCCGGCAGGAGGAAAACACCTTCACTTTTAATAGGCTCACCTTTTTCTTTTTTTTGTTGCATACTTTTAACCAGAGCACGTAATTCGTCAACATATCTTTGTGCCCAGTTTCCGACAGCACAAATCAGCAAGACATACGTCAGTGTTAGCAGCAACTGCTACAACATGTGGTTTAGTAGTGCAGGGGAAAGTGACAGATTTGTGGGGGCTTCATAGGAAGAACTGAGTCAAACAATCATTTAGTGCATTGACAGGCACTACTAACTTGCTTTTTGAATAGTTTTTTTATATGTCTGCTGTATTTTATCTGGCAGAAATGAACTTTTTGGGCATTTCATGTGAAAAACATCAGTCTCAGCAGCACTGTGTAACCACCAATAAAGCTACAGCTCAAGGATAAATAGTATTTGATCAGCTGCACGTACAGAAAATAAAGGTTTTGTTTGTTATCTCTTTAATGAGGTTAATTCAGAAGTCTGTAATGATTTGGAACCAGAGATGAGAGCATTGCTCGGTAGCTAGCTAGCTAATAGCGGCACTTCTGTGAAAGGCACAGCAGTGCGATTTGAGACAACGCTACACGGTCAAAATCCACACTTTGCAAATGTTTCACAGCGTACAACATGGCACTGGATGCAGATCAGAGATCCATCTTCATCAAAGAATCCACGTTTCTGTCCTCTGGAGGATTAAAGAAGGTTCTTTTTCTTCTTCTGCATGATTAATGTATGTCCTCCGCCGCCACGCCTCACTGATGTGTATTTTTAGACACCCATGTCAGGGAGTGCCATCCTTTGTTGGCCAGTATTCACATGATGTATGAAATCATCTCAAAACCCTCCTCCCTCCATCCCCTCACACACTCTCTCATTCCCTTTCTTCCCTGGGCTCTGATATCTCCGTGAACTGGGGCACAGAAAGACTCTTTTTTCCCGGAGAAAAAAAAAACTGTATAAAACTTCCCAAGCTGCCTCAGAGTGTTCTCTTTATTTCTCAAATCCCCAAACTGGATTGTGAGTGAGGAAGGCGAGGAGGAAGAGGAGAGAGAGAGTCGCTGGGTGACAAGAGATATTTGAACAAAGTGACACTGATTTTGTCCCAGCGGTAACGAGGATCACCTGAGAGCGAGGCTGAGGAGTGAAGGAGGTGACAATTTGTTCCCAGAGGAAGCAACTTTATTGATTTCATTCTGCGGGATCCAAGAAGTGAAGATGAATTTGTCTCTGTGACACGCCGACACACAACTGACACACAACTGACACACAAAGGTTCTGGGAGGTTTAGTTGGTTAACATAAAAATACACTTTGTTTAGTCTTTTTTTTAAGTGTTCAAATGTTGCTGACCAGTGCTCATTAGATTTATTTTGAACAGAAAACATGTTTGTGAAAACAAGAACAATTTAAAGACAGCCAAAACGGTGATGAAGCTAGCTGGTAGATGTACAGAATAATCACTTTATAACACCTGCACGTACAGTATCAATATGGCTGAGAACAAGTCTCCCTTGGCACTGCGACTTATACACTAGCTTATGGAAAATTATTGTTATTGTTATGTTATTTAATTATGTGAAAAGTACCAACAGAGTTTATTACACTCACACCTGTCCTTGCAAAACAAGTGCAGGTAGGAACCACAATCCCTCTAGTGGACATCAAATAGGAAATTCAATCTTAAAAAAATTATCTTGTATGTTTTGAGAAAACGTTTCTGTGTGGTTCATCACTTGCACATAACATAGAGTCATTTGATCTAATTATTTACATAAAAGTTTTGTTCAATGCATATTTAACTTTGTAAATTGGGGGTTACATGCTGCAGACCTGACGGAAAAAAGGCTGGTGATAATACAGCAGCTGACCTTTAACCCTGTAACGTCTACTAGCACCTCACTGGGTCATCTGTGTGTGTGGATGAGTAACTCACACTTTCAAAGCCTTGTATGAGTGTGTTACGTAAGCCTCAATGTGTAAAATGAATGGATGTATAAGAATATCTGGATACAGCGTTGCGGCCCAGTTCACTCCTATGATAGTTGCTCAGTGGCGCATTAAACAAAAATGGTCTGAATCTCGAGAACAAGAATACACAGAACTTCCACATCCATTGGGCCCTTTCATTTTCCTTAAGCCCCGCCTTCAATCTGCTCCGTCATGTCCGGTTTTGGCTCTGTAAAATAAAGTGAAAATAAATTATTTCAGCGCATTTTACAGCTTAAAGAAGATATAAACAAGTGCTGTTCAAGTGTTCAGAGTGGTACACAAAGAAATGTGTACGCTGATTCACAGGATTTTCTTTTACAATGTAAGTCAATGGGAAAAAGTATTTTGGGGCTCAATGGCATCACACGTCTGTCACTTCAACTGTAGTACCACCGTTCGGCCACTACGCACATTTGCTTCAATGCCCTTCCTGGACACTTAGTAAAAATGTGCTGAAGATGAGGCATCATCACAGGTGGTGTCTGTTGAGTGATGAAACTGAAACTCAGTGTCAAGCTGCGTAAAAACCTCCCTTTTCTCTCGTGTCGTGTTTCTCTCCTGACTCGTCAGAGGCGGAAGTGTAGACATGTGTTTCTAATCCCGGCCGCAGATCAGAGCCAATCAGCCGGCTCTGATAATTTCAAAGGCTCTAACACAGTAAACACAAGCACAGCGAGATGAAGAGTGTTTACCCTGCAGCTTGTTTCACTTGGTGTCTCCTCAGTGGGGAGGTGGAGCTGCGTCGTGTCACTCAGACTTCAAAGAGCAGCGGCTGCTCAGTGTTTTGACCTCCTCCACCTTTTGTTTCTGAGCTGGACCGTCAGATCGGCTGCCGGGCTGGCGGCCTTTGACCCCGTACTTCCTGCCCACTCTATATCAGAGATGAATTCTGATTGAAGATGTGAAACCCTGTTATTTTATGTTTAATTACTTGCAATGCAAAGGTTTCATCTTTTCGCTGAATTCAACTACGGGCGTTTAGGATTTTTGAAAATTGAGGGTGAGAAACGTTTAGCCGTACACCCTCAGCATCATGTGCTGAAGTTAGCATAACAAATTCAAGTGAGTCTGTCACACTATAGTGAATAAAACAGTGACTTTGATGCAGTGGCGGCTCCAGAGTATTTTTGTTGGGTAATCTATGGTAGAGCTAACCCATACAGTGGTGGGGCTCAAGTCAGTATTTGCAATGTAATTACATACACGCTCCCCTTGACAGTGAAATGCCACGCGTGAGGTTTAGATTATTTTCCTGTCTCAATCCAAATTCAACTGTATGAAATAAAAAAGCACATTTGTCTTGTAGTAAATAAAAAGGGCGACCTGGAGCCAATCCTGCAATTTCCCCACAGGTGAAAGAGTTGACATGCTGAAAACCCAACTCCTGCAGGGGGGTCTGGGGGGATTTTGAAATACTAACATAAAATACACTCACTTGAGAAGAAAAATAAATAAATCTATTACTACACGACATATTTAAAAAAATGAATGCCATTTTAGTTTTTTGTTACTTTGTTCTGAAAGCTGAAGCTGCTGCTCCTCACAGAGAGAAGAGGGAAGAGGCTGTGTGAATGACTTTACATTGTGGGTAAGGGTGGATAGCCCCCATTGTTCTGTGTGTCAAAATGAAAGACAGCCCACACACCTATCAATCATCAAACCGTGGGGTCTTATTCCATTACGTGTTGATTTCTATCAACATGTAATGTTGTATCGATGTATATAGAGATGTACTACAGCAACAGTATTCTCCGTTGGGACTTCCTGCTGCAACAACACCACACCATTATCGTGATTCTGATTGGCAAGAAGACATTATCAAAGATGTTCTATTGAGAAGACGATCACTACGTGACAAAAGTTTTCAAAACCGTTTCTAGTCTTCTGTATTTCCAGACAAGTGGCTACTGAAATCAATCTTACTAACTGCTGTCTGTGCAATTTACTCCGCGCGAGTTGGCGGAATTTATTTTGCTTACTTTAACATCATTTTTCATGGTGGGGCTAAGCCAACTTGCATTTCACAATAAAGTAAGATCTTATTTCCTATATCAAGATATAAACATATATGCCTGCATGCACGACACTCCGCTTCTGAAACACTTCTGGAACGCGCCCGGTGGGTTATGACGCTATAGGAGGTCGGACCAAAACCACGGCGCAGCCGTAATGCGACGCAGACGGACCCGGTGGAAACTAGGGGTTAGGCAGCCAGAGCAGAAGTAATGTGGTCCCTTTTCCAAACTCTGTTTAGTACACGTGCTGCAGCATTTTGAATCAGCTGAAGCGACTTAACTGACTTCTTGGTACACCCTGATAATTGATTTTATGTGGGCGTTAAAAGATAAATCCTGATAAAATATAACACCAAGATTCCTTACAGTCTCACTGGAGGCCAAATGAATGCCATCCATAGTTAATATATCTTTAGATAGTTTGTTTCGTAGAGTCTTTGGGCCGAGTACAATAACTTCAGTTTTGGCCGTGTTTAACATAAAAAAATGTAAGGTCATCCACGTTTTTAAGTCCTTGAGGCAGTCTTGAATTTTATTTAGATGATTGGTTTCATCAGGCTTGATGGATAAATATAGTTGAGTATCATCCGCATAACAATGAAAATGTACAGAGTGATTCCTTATAATATTGCCTAACGGAAGCATATACAGTGTATAATGTGAACAAAATAGGTCCAAGCACTGAGCCCTGTGGCACTCCATGGCTAACTTTGGTTTGCATGGAAGATTCATCGTTGACACACACAAACTGAAAGCGTTCAGATAGATAGGACCTAAACCAGCCTAAAGCAGTTCCCTGTATGCCAGCTAAGTGGTCTAGTCTTTGCAATAGGATATCATGGTCGATAGTCAAATGCAGCACTGAGATCGAGCAAAACAAGAATAGACACTAATCCTTTGTCTGAGGCTATTAGAAGGTCATTTATGACTTTAGCCAGAGCTGTCTCTGTGCTATGATGTGTTCTAAAGCCAGACTGAAAAGCTTCAAATAAATCCTTGTTTTTTAAGTAATCACTCAACAGTCGGCGTCGGACTGGAAGTACCGGAGACCATAAACGGTTTTGAAAACTTCTGTCACATAGTGATCATCTTCTCAATAAAATATCTTTGCTGATGTTTTTTCGAGTCTTCTGGCCAATCAGAATCAAGATTGTTGCCGGAAGTCTCAACAGAGAATAACTTTGCGGTAGAACTCTTCTTTATATATCCATGGGTACAAATTCATATAAAAATGAACACATAATGAAATATGACCCCCGGTTTGATGATTGACAGGTCACAGAAAAATGGGAGCTATTTACCCTTACCGAAAATTTAAAGTAAGTCACACAGGATATCTCCTCTTTACTCTTCTGATGCAAGATTTCAGAACAAAGTGAAAAACAAACAATGGCATAAAATATTATGAATATGTCGGGTAGTAATAGATTTATTTATTTTCTTCTCAGAGTGTACCAGAATGCATAGTTTATGTTAGTATTTCTAAAAATCTCCTGGGTGAGAATCCCCCCAGACCCCCCTGCTGGGGTTGGGTTTTCAGCATGTGTGCCTTTTTATATAGTTTAGCTTTGATTCCATCATCTCATTAAACCTTTTTTAAAAGCATACTTTAGTTCTGTGAAGGGATATAAGGGATATATGCACTGCACTTCACTTTTATTAATTGTATGCTGAAAAGCGTATATATTACAGCACGATTTTTTGTTGAATAGATTTGAGTGCTTCAAAATGTTGGGTCGCGATGTATTGAAAATCGTGCTGTAATATATACGCTTTTCAGCATACAATTAATAAAAGTGANTCATGTGTGTGTTGTGTGTGTGTGTGTGTGTGTGTGTGTGTGTGTGTGTGTGTGTGTGTGTGTGTGTGTGTGTGTGTGTGTGTGTGTAAAGGGTAACATGGAAGATCAGGTTTTTAATACTTTGCCAGGTGCATATGTTTGTGAACACAATTAAGAAGGAGCATGATACCAATATGTCGCCGCTTTTTTTTCTAACCCTTTCTCCCACTTATCCCAAACACAGAACCCATTCTCCACACATGCAATAAAATTATAAATATATAAATTAGGTAAAAAAATAATTTAAAAAATAATAATAAATAAGTAAATAAATCCCAAAAATACATTTTATTTTATTTATTTCAAATCAATAATACAAACAAATTATAATAATAATGAAATGAAACATGATCATTATTATACTATACAAGCTTAAGCAGTGTAAAATTGACAAAAATATTACTAACTCTAAATATGATCCAAAGATAAAGAAATTATAGAGAAAATCACAAAGTCAGCACAACAGTAGAAGAAGAGTGAATATTTTTTTAAAGCACAATGGTAAGGCTTGTTTTTCTTTTACCAGTTTGACTACAAATACATTCAATCTTTATTCCAAAATGAAACCCAATGCAACGGTTGCTTGGCCAAATGATACATCTTAAATAGGAGACATAATTCTAAAATAAGATGTTATGTTATCCCGCCTCCTCATCCTCCCTCCTGCTCTCTCTTCTCTCTCTTGGCAAAGTTCCCAGACTCAAACATCCCCCCTTCACAAGTATGCTCTCCCCCTCCTCCCTTTCCTCAACCGCCATCTAAACATATCCTGCCTGCTGGATAACTTTCCATGAGGCTGTGACTGACACCGAAGAGTTTTTTCTCCCCTTCCCACAAAACCCGATCCCAACCCCGACCACGAAGAGGAGGAAGGGGAGGAAGAGGAGGAGGAAGAGCAGGGGGAGGGAGACGCTCCTCCACGAATCATGGCTGGGAACCAGATGTTCACAGCTAACAATGACAGAGGGAGAGAAATCTCTGCTCCTGTGGGGATTTCAGCTACCACGCTCAGGCTGTTATTAGAGTAGGGTTGGGTCTTGGGAAAAAGATGAGAGCATGTGAAGCTGTCGGGGTCGTGGTGGAAGTCCTGCTCCGGCTGGGAGGACTCGGTGAGTGAGTGAGTGAGTGAGATGAGTGAGTGAAGGAAAGGGCAAGATCAGCTGGAGGCGGCAGAGTTCACAGCACAGAAACACTCACAGCTCATTGGTGGGAAATGCTTACCTATCAGACCAGGAGCTGTACTATGACGGTATTGACCTTAAATGGGTCATTTTACCAAACTTGTATTCAAATGAAACACCTACATATCTACCTACATCTTTTTAGCTATCTCTTGTGCAATCTTTCCTAAATGAGCAGCAGAATTGGCGAGAGATTGATAGCCAGACAGACGCTTCACGTTCATCAATATCATAGCTCACACATAGCACGGTTGGCTGGAAAACGTCACATTACAAGAGATGCGTAAACACAGACGTAGGATCAATACGTTGCTATCTAGAAATGAATTAAATGAGACACCGCAGGCTATTGATATAAAGCTTCACAAAATGATCAAACTATCTTAAAGTGGACCTATCATGCTATATTTGAATAATATATTGTACCTATATAAAACATGTCTGTGAAGTTTTTTTTTCAAAATACCAAACAGATCATGCATTTTAGCCATGCCTCATTTTGCTCTATTTTGCTCTCCTCCACCCTGTCTTTGCATGCGCTGCAGCTGACCACGCCCCCCTGCAAAGGAGGGGGGCGAGTTACGAGTGCCATGAGTTACCATGCTGTTACCATGCTACGGCAACCTCTCATTCCCCTGACTGGTGGAGAGTTGCCCAGGTGGAGCACCCCGTTTCTGACATCAGAACAATTTCAAATCTGTATCAGATCCGTTGCAGCCCCGTTTTTAGAGATTTTGGGTATGGAGGAAAAGAGAGAGGGTTGTGTTTTCTGATACTTGGTGAGTTCCCAGACACACCGGGGACACACATTCATGTATAAAAGACGTACAAAAGTGC